AGAATTACTTTTTATTACAATTAGTGAATCTACGTTAATTAAGTAAGCTAAGGATAATGAACGACGACGGTTAAGGAAATTAGGCACGTTAAAAAAAAAAAAAACTCTTATGGAATTGCCTGACATTTTAAACTAGCAACTAGCAAGCTATTCGAGGATAAATAAAAAAAAACATACAAAATCACTTTGCTTTAACATTTGTTTTATTTCTAAAGCTATTTAAACGGTACATGATAACTTTCACATACTACGTTTTTAAAATGCTTATTGAGCTATTACTGGGAGGCCATGGCTCAAACTGGATTTGACGTCAGTACTCTAAAAAAACACACAAGTCTGAAAATAATTAATTACCTTCATGCGACAAAACGTTTGAGAAATATATTATAATTTTTTTCCGTATAAATCCTTTGTAAAATGCAATATCAAGCAATGAAAATTGGATAGAATGTGTTGTACTTGGTAATGACTCTATGTGCCAATTTTATCCTCGATCGGTTGATTGGAAGTGGGTCGATTAGTCGTCCGTAGATCTTGCCAGCGAGCCAGCCACATTCAATATAAATCATTTTAAAAAGATTAAATTTATATATGGCGTATGGCTGTTTATTTATATGTCACGATGACCAGGGCTTCGCTCGAGCTGTATTTTGTATAAAGTAAGGGAGCGTTGCTCAACTTGTCAGGCCCGCTCTCTCGTCCTTGCCTTTTTTTTGTTCCAATGGCAAGAATTAGTCAAGACGACTGTATGGACCAGGATGCAGCTGATGAGCAGCACTAGTTTTTTTTTTGTTTTGTTGCTTTTTTTGTGTTTCACCGTGCTCTTTATGCGTTCAACGTCGCAGGAGTTGTCGGAATTTTTATTGTGTCAATGTCATACCGTCATACGGGACTCCACCTCCGGGTTTGATTTCTGAGTTTGCCATCTCTAAGATGAGTTGCCGCGGGTCCCATCCACCCGGCTTGCTGGTGAGTCCCATCCACCCGGGGTGCTGATGAGTCCCATCCACCCCGGGTGCTGGTGAATCCAATCCACCCGGGGTGCTGGTGAGTCACATCCACTCGGGGTGCTGGTGTTGTTTTTGTTTGCCTGGCTTCTTGCTGGGGATTGAACTCCAGAGCTCCCGTTCAGATCATTCTGCCACCCTATGGAATGGCTAGGCATTTATCAAAATCTTCGCTTCAGCACTTCTGAATTCTAGTCCGATAACTCGCTTAGATCTAAAAGACTCAAATAATTAAGAAAACACTACCTGTGTAACCTTTTTCTCAAATTATAAAAGGGTTGGACTGTGATAAAGCTCATACGTAGATAGATGAGACACAAATTGTGGAAATAAAACAATATATGTTAATTAAGCTTTAATTATGATTGACAAAATACAAATTTCAACGTTTTGGCACATGCTTTCATCGGTACAACAAATACATTGTTTTCATTACTAATTGAATGTACACAATATATTTATAGCCTAACTATACATAAAAAAAGAAAGAAAAGAATACGAATGGACAAATAATAGAAGAACGGAAGGAAGTGGGTAGAAGTGTAATATAAAAACCATACAGGAAAAAGACATTACAGCTATGTAAAATTGCGAATTTTCACAAAGTTAATATGTTATGTGAATTTAATTTATCATTATATTAATGTTTTTTTTTGTGTTATTAATACATTGGTCGAAACGTTTGAATCTCATGCAAAAACATATAATTAAAGCTGAACATGTATTGTTTTATTTACACAATTTTTGTGTGTCTCATTAATCAAATTTATTTCAATACCATTTCAAGTTAAGTGGTTTTCACGTTTTTTGTTTGTTTTTTTTTTTTGGTGGTGTTTTTAGAGCTAGCGTCAGGTGTGCAGACAAATTATTTGTATTATTGCTAAATGGTCTCCTAGTTACCGTAAGTGGACACGAGACAGGTTTAATTGAGTTGATGACGTCATTCAGGGGATATCTCAGGAAGTAATATCTTATCTGTGTCATTTTTAAAATGTGAAATCGGACATTTATTAAATGGTGAGTACTTGCAGATTAGAGTTCAACAAGATCTGGGCTCACTAACAACTCGGCTAACGAACGCGTCAGTACACCAACACACCAGCTTAGCAACACATCACCTCAGCAACACACCAGCTTAGCAAAAATCAACTTAGCAACACACCAGCTTAGCAACACATCAGCTTAGCAACACACCAGCTTAGCAACACACCAGCTTAGCAACACATCAGCTTAACAAAACATCAACTTAGCAACACACCAGCTTAGCAACACATCAGCTTAGCAACACACCAGCTTAGCAACACGTCAGCTTAACAACACATTAGCTTAGCAACACACCAGCTTAGCAACACACCAGCTTAGCAACACACCAGCTTAGCAACACACCAGCTTTGCAACACACAAGCTTAGTAACACACCAGCTTAGCAACACATCAGCTTAGCAAAACATCAATTTAGCAACACACCAGCTTAGCAACACATCAGCTTAGCAAAACACCAGCTTAGCAACACATCAGCTTAGCAACACATCAGCTTAGCAACACATCAGCTTAGCAACACACCAGCTTAGCAACACACCAGCTTAGCAACACACCAGCTTTGCAACACACCAGCTTAGCAAAACACCAGCTTAGCAACACATCAGCTTAGCAACACATCAGCTTAGCAACACACCTGCTTAGCAGCACACCAGCTTAGCAACACACCAGCTTAGCAACACACCAGCACACCCACACACACACGCACGAGAGCACACGCAGACACGAATGCACCAATGCAGATTCCTCACTCTTGTCACACATAACCAAGCGATAACCTCGCCAAGTCTCTTTTTCCCTCAATCACAATCAAAGGAGGTAACGCTAGCCATTCAGGAAACGCAATAGAGTGTTGTCTCTCGTTAGTAAGCCAATATTTCTCACACAAAATGTAATGCTATAAAATGTAACGGACTTCCACGGGAAGTTGATTTTTATAAAATTCCGCGCCAAGTCGGCTGCAGTTTTCAAACTTTAAACTAATATCCGACAGGTTAGTTGTTTTGCTGCGTTTCTTTTTCAGGGATGACCATACAATGTTTGACTCATTTTCTACTAAGCTGTCCTCACTCACTGCTGGGATTTGAGGAACACTCGATTTTAAAGAATTCATCTCTTTTTGTTTTGTTTTATCACCAAATTTCATAACTTTACTACCCAGTTATTACGCCCCCCCCCCCCCCCCACACACACCTGTTTCCGGATCCGGACAGCAAGGAACCGCCACATGTATGTCCAGAAAATGACAGCTATATTCTCACACCGTAGGGCAGTCGATATGCGTCAATTTCTGGGGAAAAAAACATGTTTAAATTCGATAGTTTCTAGCTAGCGGGATTTAAAAAACAAATTACGTGACTAGGTCTTTTACTTCTTTCTATAAGTCCGTACGAATTTCATGAGAATCATTACATCTCGTATTTATTTATTTTTTTTTTAAATTCTTTACTTTTTTTAGTAACACTATATCATTGTTAATCCAACACCCCCCTCACCCCCACACGCAACCCCTTTCTCGCTCACAGACTCCCTGACAGGTCCTGTGATCCAGAAAAGGCCACGGAGACGACACACCTGACACAGGACCTCGAGAAAGGTGAGCAAACCCATTACCGGACGTTGTTCTCCGGGTTGAAATTATATGGAGACTTGAGGAACTGTAACTGTTATTAATATTATTATGCTTTTTTTTTTATTATTATTATCATGGAAACTTTATAGCCGTTAAAAAAAAAAACAACTAAAACCGATGTACCCCGATAAGCCGGTTCCATAACACCCCAACCAGGAAAGCGTCTGCTTTAAGAAAACACTGCGATGGAATTTCGCCTTATCTTTAATTAAAGTTTTGCACCAAAAATACGTAACTATTTTAGGCTTGTGCGTGAGTGAAATGGAAATATAACCAAGGGCGTGATTATCTCCGGAAAAGAATCTATTTTTTTAAAATGGAAATCAGAGATCTTTATCATGGAAAACCACCCCCCCCCCCAACCAAAAAAAAAAAAAAAAAAAAAAAAAAAAAATAAATTCTTAGAACATTGCAGTCATCAGATATGGCGATATATCTTTTTTAAAAAAAACAAAAAACAAATACCGTATTTATTTTTTTTTTAAACGGAAAATCTCTACTTCTTTCTTTAGGTTAAAACTGATTTAAAAAAAAAAAATTAATTGCAAGCGACTTACAAAATCATCACATGTGATTAAACAAGGTTTCAAAAAGTTACAATAAATTAGACCTGTTTGAAATAGGGGCTGTTAATTTGACGGGTTTAAAATAGTTTCATTATTAGAAGCACCGGGAGGCCTGTGTTCAGACTGAAGAAGTAAAAAATATACCCAGGGTAGGGGAAAACCCGAAGAAGAACACACAGACACGTACACACACACAAAGGAGTCGTCGACAGCAAAACTACAGAGACAGACAAACCTACTTTGTATAGTTATGCAGTTGACAGGAAATGGTAGACATATCCAATTACGGAAGTGACCTATGAAATTTAAAAAAAAAATGTTGAATTGAGAGTAACAAGGAAATAGTGTTAGTTAAGTTGACGTATTGACATTGCTTAATAATGGAAGCTAAAGGCTTATTGTTTTTCAATTTTATTTCGTATGATCAATAATTAAGTAATATTCAAGCTAAATCGTTTCATGGGCGCTAAGATAACTTTAAACCCACCTTAACGGACACAGGTCACCGCGACCGCACCTTACTGACCATGCAGCACCGCGACGGTTACAGCACATCAGTAGTTCAAGGGCTTTATTTAAAATTGCGTTCTCCGCCCCCAGATTTCTCCACGAAAGACGAGTGATCTCTTTTAATTTGTCTCCTTCAGACGATGACAGCGTTCACGAGGATGCGCACGCACAGGTGGTGAATGAAACGGAAACGGCCGCTGCAGGAAGCGGAAGTTCACCGCCGAAAGGAGGTCAGAATGGCGTCAGTGCAGGAGGAGGTGCTGGGCTTGGAGACGGTGGTAGCAGGCGAGTATCATTCCAGTTGGAGAGGCTGCCGCGATCAAGTTCCACCGTGGACTTCAAACTACGCAGGTTTGCGCTGCAATGCGCATGCTTTGTCAGTGGCGGCTTCCGTGTCAAATTTTTGTCCCTCTTCTTACTCATAATGTGAAGTTGCTAGTGAAAGACAAGATATGTTGGTGGAAGGAAAGATATGTTAGTGGAAGGAAATAATGTTAGTGCAAGAAATTATGTTAGGGGAAGCCAAAAATAATTGAAACATTCTTGTGATGAAATTTTTCGAACTCCTAATGAAATATTTGAGTGTAAAAGAGTCGAAAATGTATATATATATATATATATATATATATATATATATATATATATATTTGGGGGGAGGGGAGAGAGAGGGGGGGAGAGAGATAGATAGAGAGAGAGAGAGAGAGATAGAGAGAGATAGAGAAAGAGAGAGAGATATATATATAGATATATATATATATATATATATATATATTTGGGGGGAGGGGAGAGAGAGGGTGGGAGAGATATAGTTAGAGCGAGAAAGAGAGAGATAGTGATACATAGAGAAAGACAGAGAGTGAGAGAAAGAACGAGGGGGAGAAAAGGGAATAGATATGGAGAGAAAGAGACAGAAAACATGGAAAAATAGAGAGAGAAAGAGAGAAAGTGGATGAAGGGGAGAGATAAGAGGAAAGAAAGCGACAGAGAAAACTAAGGACAGAGAAACATGGAGAGAGAAATAGAGTGACAGAGAGCGAGAAAGAGATATATAAAGAGAATAAGAAAAAAGAGATAGAGAGAGAGAAAGAGGTAGACAAAAAGAGGGAGAGAGAAAAAGAGAGGGAAAAGAGAGAGAAAGAGAGATAGAGAGAAAGAAAGATAGAAAGATAGAGAAAGAGAGAAAAAGAGAGAGAGAGAAAGAGAGAGATAGAGCGAAAGAAAGATAGAGAGACAGAGAAGGGATTTATTTTGTTATCACGCCACATTAAAGTCTCTCCAGTCTTTGCTACCTTGTGAAGGCTTTTTTTTAAGGCAGCCATTTCGGAAGCTCAAACGATTTTAATCTCAATATTCTTTGACGGACTGTGCTCCTCGTTGTCTGCCCCTTTCAAATTGTGCCAGACATTTTTAAAGCCTGTTATACATTGTTTTTTGTTTTCTGTAAAATGTTCACCAAGGAGGTCCTCAATTGAAAGAAGTGGGTCTGCTAGTAGTTCCTCAATGGCAAAAAATAATAGAATATGCTATAAAATAACTTGACAATTAATTTTAGCCTCAATTTTAAACCATAAAAAATTCACTATTTTAGCTTTGCTTTGACTTTGAGAGTAATCTTTCTTGATGTTTTATGGATGTTCCCCCACCTCATGTAGTTCTTAAAATAGCCAAATAATGTAAACTTCCTTTTCAGCCTATATCTTGTTTTTTATCTCTCTCCCTCCTCTTTCTCTCTCAACCTCTCTCACTTTCTGCCCCCCACTCCATCTCTGTCTCCCAATGTGTCTCCCACTCACTCCCCCTATCTCTCTCTCTCTCCCACTCACTCTCTCTCTCCCTATCTCCCACTCACTCTCTCTCTCCCTCCCTCTCTCTCCCTCTTCTCTCTCTCCCTCTCATTTTTTCTCCCTCACTCCCATTCTCTCTCTCCCTCCCTCTCTCCCACTATCTCTCTTCATTTCTCTCTCTCTCCCATCTCTCTCCCTCTCCTCTGTCTCCCTCTCATTTTTTCTCCCTCACTCCCACTATCTCTCTCTATTTCTCTCTCTCCCTCCCTCTCTCCCACTATCTCTCTCCCCCACTCTCTTTCTCCCCCACTCTCCCCATCTCTCTCTCTCTCTCTCTATATATATCTCTCCCTCCCTCTCTCCCACTATCTCTCTCCCCCACTCTCTTTCTCCCCCACTCTCCCCATCTCTCTCTCTCTCTCTCTATATATATATATATATATATATCCCTCTCTCCCCCTCTCTCTATCCATTTCTCTCTCTCTCCCTCTCTCTCTCCTCTCTCTCTCTCTCTCTCTCTCCCTCCCTCTCTCCCCCTCTCTCTCTCCCCCTCTCTCTTTCTCCCCCACTCTCCCCCTCTCTCTCTCTCTCTCTCTCTATATATATATATATATATATCCCTCTCTCCCCCTCTCTCTATCCATTTCTCTCTCTCTCCCTCTCTCTCTCCTCTCTCTCTCTCTCTCTCTCTATTGTTTGCTTGCCTTTTGTGTTCAAACATTGAAAAGAATTTGGGAAGAAATTGACCAATGCCTTTGTTTACTTCTGGTAAAGTTGTACAACTCATTACTACTTTGATATTCCCTGTTGTCATCGCACCTTGACAATCGTCTTGGACAATACTTTATGATAAAAACATTATTTTAAAAAATAAAAAAAATAAATAAAAAAGGAAGCATATAGAGAATCTGTGGTACGCCTGGTTCAGACCGAAGCTCAGTTACTCCCCACCTCCACCCTGCTTTTTAAACCCACACACTTGTGGGAATGGGAAAATATGACATAATCCTGCCGAAGTCCAATAATTTATTATAAAATATTCATAATGCAGCCTGCCTCACAGATCGCAACAGCACTGTGACATTCCTTGACATCTATCGATCTGACATGGATTCATGTCAGAGGCCAAGAGTCATTGCCGTCGAGTTTGGTTATTGACCTTGAGGTTGTTTCATTGCCTCCGAGGTTTTTCATTGCCTTCAAAGTTGTTCATTGCCTTCGAGGTTGTTCATTCCCTCGAGGTTGTTCATTCCCTGTAGGTTGTTCATTGCCTTCGAGGTTGTTCATTGCCTTCGAGGTTGTTTCATTGTCTCCGAGGTTGTTTCATTGCATCCGAGGTTGTTAATTTCCTTCGAGGTTGTTCATTGCTTCCGAGGTTGTTTAATTTCCTTCGAGGTTGTTAATTGCCTTCGAGGTTGTTAATTGCCTTCGAGGTTGTTAATTGCCTTCGAGGTTGTTCATTGCTTCCGAGGTTGTTCATTGCCTCCGAGGTTGTTCACTGCCTTCGAGGTTGTTTCATTTCCTCCGAGATTGTTCATTGTCTCCGAGGTTGTTCATTGCCTCCGAGGTTGTTGATTGCCTTCGAAGTTGTTCATTGCCTCCGAGGTTGGTCATTGCCTCCGAAGTTGTTAATTGCCATCGAGGTGGTTAATCTCCTTCGAGGTTGTTTCATTGCCTTCAAGGTTGTTTCATTGCCTCCGAGGTTGTTAATTTCCCTTGAGGTTGTTAATTGCCTTCGAGGTTGTTCATTGCTTCCGACGTTGTTAATTTTCTCCGAGGTTGTTCATTGCCTCCGAGGGTGTTCATTGCCTCCGAGGTTGTTCATTGCCTTCGATTTTGTTCATTGCCTTCGAGGTTGTTCATAGCCTCCGAGGTTGTTAATTGCCCTTGAGGTTGTTAATTGCCTTCGAGGTTGTTTCAGTGCCTTTGAGGTTGTTTCATTACCTCCAAGGTTTCAAAAAATATATGTAAAAAAACAACAATAAATTGTTTTGAAATGTTTAAAATTAAGTGCAGTTACCAGAATTTTCCTGAAGTAAAAGTATATTTATGAAAGCGAGATTATTTCCCCTGTTGTTTTGACCTGAGAAGTAGAAAAGTAGAGAAAAGTAATTAGTATTGAAAGTAAAATAAAAAAATAAAATAAGATTCCTAAAAATGTTTCTCTTTGTTCTCATATTACCGTCTTCCTAACTGAAATATATACATTTTATACTTTTTAAATGGCGATGATATGCTGGCTTAGAAACCTGACATAGGCTGGCAGACTGAGACCCCTTGCTTGTGATCACTGGTTGTCACTAAAACGTGACACTCCAGGTCACGGTACTTTTGTTTATCTCGATTCTTTGTTAGTCAATGTTAGAACAGCTAGAAAATCCAACTCATTTTGTATGCGTCATGTTTCGCTTCTTTGTTAGGTCTGACTCTCCAACGTTCAGTGGCGTAGGCAAGGGTTAGTGCCACCTGGGGGGGGGGTGTCGAGAATTTTGCCGCCCCATTCCACGAAAACAAACAAACAAACTCGGCAGTTGACTGAAAGCCTGGCCCTCGACATAAAGAACAAAAGTACCACTCGGGATGACCACTCCCTCTGTCCTCTCTTCCTGCGCCGCCGCCAAAGTCAATCTATATCTCTCACTCCCTGTGTCCATCCCGTTTTCTCTCCATATCTCCTCCCCCACTCCGTCTGCCTCTGTCTGTCTCACAGTCTTTATATCTCTCTCTTTATCTCTCACAGTCTTTAATATCTCTCTCACATAACAAACTAAATGAACAGATCTGATTTTGATCAACCATTAATGATCTCGCCGTTGGGTTGTCGCCCATACAACCAGGGTTGCCAAACCCCAAAAAACAAAAGCAACAACACTAGTAATAGCACGCACACACACACACTAGTACTCTATCTATATCTTCATAATTAATTACAGGCTAATACATTTTTGGACGGGAAATTTTTGTACAATACATTTAACAAAGAAAATTTTTTAAAAATTTTATTTTAAAATGTTCAATTTTTTATATCACTTTCTGTGTGACTCATTGTTATATAACCATGAGCCTTCAGCCTATTTTATAACGTTATTTTTTTTAACATTCTCATCGGTGTCGAATTTCTGCTGACCGTGACCAAAACAGTTTTTTAATTTAAAGTAAGCGCAAAGAAAACTCAAAGTCTGAGCTATTTTGTTTTGTTTCGCTTCAAAATAGATCTGTCCTACTTCGCATTTTTTTACGCACATCCTAATGTTCTCACAAACTTTTACGGACCAGTCCTTTAATGTTAGTTTTTTCTTTTTAGTGGACAGTTTGTAAATTTGCGTACGATTGGCTACCTGCACACAGCACATTAATTAAACAACCCGTCAAAACGAAGTGTTCCTTATGAATCCCTTATGAAAAGTAATATCCAGCAATTTGGTTTGGGTGGAGAGGGGGGGGGGGGAGAATGGAGCTGAAAATTTGACATAGCCTGCATTCAAGTAAAGCAATAATAATAATTAGTGCTCCCGGTGCTCCCCCAGCCCCCCATAAACTCTAAGCCACTCATCTTTTTAACGCCCCTTGACTGTATTGATATTCTGATGCCCCACCTGCTCATACAACGCACATTTATTCCACCAACTATTTCATTAAAACAAAGGAAACTATAACTCACCGAAAGCACTGCGACTTTTAAGAGTCTCATCTAGCGCAGTTAGCGGGAAATGTACTGCGCTAAATCATGTACACATGAACAAATCTTATAATAGAAAAACGGGAAAAAAAATTATTTTAGGGAGGCGGGGGGGGGTTGGGAACGAAAATTTGTAGGAATGTACTGCCATAGGGGAGTCTATGTGCCAAATTTCAGCTCGATAGGTTGAAGTGGGTCTATTAGCCGTCATAAGATATTCCATTCCGCCACCCAGTCAACCACGAACGAAAGCGAAGTTAATCTATTTTATTTAAAAGCAACCATTTTTTAATAAAACGCTTCGGTTTAAATAAATATAGCTGAAAGTATCTTTGGTTCAAAGGTCAAACCACAGGGCAGAGGTTACACTATACATGAATTATAAAGGAAAGCTTGAGGCTAAATTTTTTGCAATGATAACAGTTCCTTTACTGTGAAAAGTAAAAGTAATCATAGTGCTACCTCATATACATGAAATAGTTATATGACATCTGTCTAAGACGCTGATTTTAAGCTTTTAGAAGTGGTTCATTTGTTGGAAAATTTAAGCCTTTTCCCCCCATTTTTATCTTGCTCATCGTCAATATTTTTGTCCTATCCTAACAATCTTAAAGGGAGTGGGGAGGGGGGGGGAATGAATAGCGACCAACCCGACCCCCCTTCACTACACGCAAGTTCTACCAACCTCCTTTTCTCCATTACGGACAAATGGTTATAAAATAAGGCCGATTAATCCAAGTTTATAATTCGAAGTCATGGTCGATCAACCACCTTTCAGGTCATAGGTCATTGTAGCTATAGGGGGGGGGGGGCGTACCGCAACATGGCAAAGCTTCCGCCTTTCAGGTTTCAAAGACGTCAAGGAAACTGACTTATCTTATCTTTGTAGACCGGAAGGAAGTTCTTTTAAGCTGAACGCGCATGTCTCACAGCCCGGCTGATTTTTACACACGTTATTGAAATTAAATCCTCATATTAATGTCCAGTCCAGAATTTATGTCAGTCATCCGGTTATCACATGGCTATTAATTTTAGTGACCATTTTCACAGCAGCAGTCATCGCATGGAAGGTATAGCTTGCTACAACAAAATTAATTCTTTCACAGTTAGAGGCTGCCTCAGGTACATTAATTTTGAGACAGTTATATGTTGTCAGAACAACATTCAAATTATTTTTTTAAACATATAAACACTTAGTGCTATTCTTAAGACATAGATTAATGGATGTATACATTAAATCAAATTTACAGTCATGTCACGTGACCTACATTTGAGCTATTACGTGCGGCCTAAGAGATTGTTTTGAAATCACTCGGATTATATCGCCTGACCGAATTATCATCCTGTGAATACTATTTAAAGTGGCTGCTGACTATCCTTTACCAGAAGACAACAGCCCTGAACCATTTATTATTTAATATTTGTTTTCGCTAATGGAGGGAAAGTTCAGAGCCAGACGCAATCAATCTTCTCGTATTTAGATTTTGAATCAGCTTGATATTTAAATATAGAATTTAACCCGGTTGTCTAAAGATCATTTGGGACCATACAAAGGAGGCTATTGACTCTAGGAGTTCAAAGAAACCTAGAAAACATGGTCGGTACATACGCATATGTTAGTTTGTGAAGTAACAATCGGATAATCTTGCTTAAGCGAAGTTTTAGTGAGGACGTTGTAACAATATCAATGGGGCAGAGCTAATTATCGTGAAAGAGTTCAAGTGTTAGTGTATAAGGCGACAGTGTTACAGTGTACACTAGACAACCTTGCCAGAAATTCTCGAAGGATTTCGACTAGAGAAACGAGAGATAGAGAGAGAGAGAGCGATGGATAGAAGGAAATAGTGAAGCAGGCCAAAGCATCTTACATGTATCCTCTTACCTCTCCAAACCCAAATTTTGATTCCTAAAATGCGTGTATCATCTTACCTCTCCAAGTCCAAAATGCCGATGTCCAAAACACGTCTATCCTCCTTACCTCTCCGCCCCCAAATTTTTGATGCCCAAAATACGTTTATCCCCTTAACTCTCGTAATGTTAATAAATGTTTCATTCTCTCATTTGAATTATTTTAAATATCCATTTTCGTGTGTAGAAATATTTGTATCATTGCATAAACTAAGACTTCTCTCAAGTTTTATCCTCATTCAAAACTTCTTAATTAACCCGGTGCAGCCAGCATCTTCGTGTAATGTTGATATATAAATATATGCAAATGTCTTAAAGAAAACTGTTAAAATTGTTGCATTTTTACTGTCAAGAAATGAAATAAAATGAAAAAAAAAAATCATAATCATCATCTGATATTTTTATGTTCAAATCAAATATCTGCAGGGAGAAAAAAAAAAGAATAGATTCTAAAGAAATCATACATAAAAAATATATTTATGTTTGTCGATAAAACAAAAAAAAATTGCAGCAGCGCAGCTTACATTGAAATTGCACAGCAATAAAATTTTATAACAGACCAATGATATTTAGAAAATCAAAGATAACGTTTTTCATTTTAGACGAATCTTAATGTAAATTTGTATTTCGTCTTTTGAAGGTACATCGAGGGCGACTTCCACCACCTGAAGCACTCAAAGATCGGCCGCCCTCTGCCCCGTCAGTTCTCAGTCGGAGGTGCTATCCCCGGGCGTGTCCTCCTGGACGATCCACAATACAGGTTCTCCTCCCTGGACGAGCGCATGTCCAGCCTCTTCCCTTCTGTGATGGGTCATGACGCGCAAAGGTCCTATCGCGACCTCCACCAGTTTCGCGACGTCCACCAATCGGCACAGACCCAGCAGATGCTGCTGCAGCAGCAGCAGCAACAACTACAAGCAGCGTCTCGAAAGACGAGCGTTGAGAGGGACAACCTTCGTAAGACGAGCGTAGAACGAGAGAACTCTCGTAGGACGAGCGTTGAACGAGAGAACTCTCGTCGGAGGAGCGCAGAGCGAGAGAACTCTCCCAAACATAACAGGGACGCGTTTCTGTCACAGGAACAACTGAGGCCAGGCAGGGACAGGCGAGAATCACCATCCCCCACGTACAGACCCCCGAGGGGCTTAAAAAATTCACCGTCTCCTACGTTCAAATTTGTCAAGGAGACGAGCAAAAACTCCCCGTCTCCCCCATTCAGACCTATAGGTGACGGGTCGCCGAATTGCTCGTCGTTAAGTCTCCGGGACAGTTCGGTCAAGGGCTCTCCGCCCTCTCCATTTAGACCCATCAGTGACCCTATAGCCGTCGGAAAGTCACCGTCGCCGACCCACAAGCCAGTGAGAACCCAAGTCTCCGTGGAGGTCCACCACCAGCAATACGTGCAGCAGGCCTGTGGGGGCCACGCACCAGAAGAGCAGCATCAGTTGTTGAGTGGACGCTTAGAGCGGGCCAGATCTCACGCAGACACGTACACTGCGCCCAAAAGCGCGGCTGTGTCACGGGCTAAAGCACAGCACAAAACCGTCTATTCCCACAGTCTGGAGTCTGCCAACCCTTCCAGGCAGCACTGTTACCGTAACAGCAGGAAGGTGAAAAGTCACGGAGACGACCTCGAGGATTACGACGTCTTGAAAATCACCGAGTTTTCCAAAGGGCCTTTTTATAATGCTGACTATGACGTCATAGCCGAGCTCGGGTCTCCCGGGTCAAAGGTCAGATACAATGACACCGGAAGTCTGGAGCAGCTCAACGAAGGTGAGTACGGGGCTGGCCCTGACCCCGACGATCTCACGATGGTGGAGGATAAAAAAGATCAGAATCACTCGGAGGGAACCGAGGACAGCGCCGAGACGATTAATGGCAACCGGAAGTACCGAGCGCTCTGGCGTCTGAGGGCAACGCTGGAGGAAGAAGAGGAGTGCAGCGACACCGTCCGAATGGAAGACATGACGTCACCGGATGACTCTCCCGACAGGGAGCACGTCACGCCCAACACGACGTCCTTTGAATCCAACGCCCAGAGCGACCCCTGTCCAAGCGATCACAGAGACAGCGGCATCCAGTTTGAGAGCACGACAGCCTCGTCGCGACCCGGGAACCACGCCAACTTCCTTCACCCCAACTACGAGAACCGGCGTCAGAATTACCGGAACGTTCTCAACAACCGGTTCCAGCGGAACAACCAGTCGACCAGCGTCGAGAACAGCTTCGACAGCGTCGAGACGGACGGCGACGTCTCGGACACCTCGAGGTACGAGGTCACCACGACCTCTTTCGAGTCGTCCACCACGACGACGACCGAGAACACGGACAGCACCACGGAGAGCCAGGCCAGCAAGCTGAGGCAGATGAAAGCCGACAGCGGGTACAAGTCCCTCGAGACGCAGCAGCAGAGCTCGAAAGAGTGCGGCGAACACGATACGGCGAAATGGGACATGCGGATGAGCGTGGACTGCTGCGAGGGGATATCGGCTCGCCGCGACAGCAAGGCGAGTGTGGACAACATTGTCGGTTTCGCCATAAGACGCAGCAGCAAAGCGGAAGTGGAGCGACTCGAAGGGATATGCCAAGCGTGTGGCAACAATGGGGTGTCTGGGGTCGAACCGACCGTGTCGATGTTTCACAGGGACAGGAGAAACAGTGGCACCGTCGGAAATGTCAAAAGTGAAAGTGTAGCAAAGTCGTCCCCGGTGTCATATTTTGATAGACGAAACGGGAAAACCGCTTCTAAGAAGCGTAGAGAGTATTCGAGGGAGAGACAAACTGTACAGGTCTACGAGAGTATTAACGAGCCAGAGACGGACTCGCGATCTGCCCTTCATTCCGGGGATAGTTTTGAAGACAGTTCAATTCCTCACAAAATTTCTGTTTTCGCGCGATTTTTCAAATCTCACTCTCGTGGACACCGCACGCGTTATCTTGTACGAGATTACAGTATCGACGAGAAAACCAATTCCATATTCAACGAGTTTGTCAAGCAAGAAGTCACGCCGACCACCAGGGAAGCGACGGGATCTGGAAGGCTGGGCATTAGAAGGTCACCGAGGTTACATAGGCATCGCTTGCAGAGGAAGCACACCGAGCCAGCGCTGCTAAGCGAGGACCAATTGAAGAGACGCGACCGTCTCGCGCCGAGCATGCGCAGCGCGAGTTTAGGAAGCGACAGCAGCGCCAGCTCCGCCAGAAGGATTTCCCCACAAGACAGCATAGAGGAGGAAGAGGACGAGCTGGAGGAGGAGACTCTCCACTTCAAGCGCGTGGCCGCCTGGTCGTATCCCAGGGCCAAATCACAGGTGACGTTTGTACAACGACAGCTCCAGTCGCTGGCCATGCACGAGAGGGCCATTCCCATCATCAAACTGCCAGAGGAAGATATTCACGAGGCATCCTCAGTTCACTGACGCGCTGATTTCAATAGAGGGCACGTGTGTAAAGCGGTGAGGGATGTGCTTATCCATTAGCCGTTGAACATATTTCAGCAACAAATTGTGACAAGACGAGATCTTTCTAAAGGTGAATGGCTTGCAAAATACCCGTCTGCTATGTTACATGTTTATGTTATATCTGTAATTAATATTAACTTGAATCAAGAACTATTTCATTCTTGGAATTTTTGAGGAACGCCGAGTATCATACTGAGAGTGAAGAGTTTGTGCGAGAAAGTGTCCAGGTTCAGGGAAGCACTATTTTTAAAGTAGGTAAGGTCACTGTGGGTAAGGTAAATGTCAAGGGAAGTCATTATGGTTGGGAAACTCGTCCGCTTGTGTGGGCGCCACAAACTCGAACTCAAGCATCACTACCCTTTTCCAAAAGGTTATTGAGAAGCTATTTTGACCAATCGACTATTTTGTTCCCTGCAATACAGTCTAAAACACGGGCTCTTACCCAGGGGGACCCCACCCCTTGTGATGCGTGAGGCAGTGCCATGGGGTGCGGGAAGACCCAGATTTTTTTTTTAAATTAAAGGTAAAAAAAAAGCAAACAACTTTTAATCCTTGTATCCAGGATTGGGTGGTGCGGAAAATGTTTTGACATCGAGAACAAGATTGCGGCGCTTCAAAAAGGGTCGAGGACCCCTGATTTTAAGCAACAGTTTAATAAAGAAAACTTTGAGGGTTTTTTTTTTTATAATGGAAACTGGCATGAGGTGTCATTTAATGTTAAATAAGATAGTTCTTATGACGATTAATTAACTTCCATTGGGATTTGTCTCCGCCACTGGTTCTAACATTTCTCCACATAGACCTTTAATTGCATAATATTGGTGCAGAGTCATTGCCTGGGGTTAGCCGATGAATCCCTTATCGAAACAAGTTAATGTAGTGAGATTGATTAAGCTGGCGGTTCTAAAATTGCAATGCTATCGCGCCTCGCGTCATTTTAAAACGTGCCATTTTACAAGGGGAAAAAAGCCCCCCAAAAATATCAATTGATGGTTCATTTGAATTCATTGGTTTTACTGAATGCGTTGGTGGCATTTCATTTATACGTTGAACTGAATTTGAAGGCGGTCATGAATGCATTGGTTGAATCGGATTTTGAAAGTTGGGTTTAATGGGCTGTTTGAATTGTGAAATTTTTGATGTTTAACTTTATTACTTGAGAAAATTTTCATTCATGGTATTATTTACGTATGAAATTGATGTAACGAAGTACGAACACATGGCTGTGAAATAGATCCACTATATTTATTGTACTTCAGTATCCAATCACGCCTCACTTGAAACGGTTTGCCTTACTTATGTCCCTTGCCTACCCTTTATTTCCCCTTGCTTGCCTATTCAAAGATAAATTTTTAAAATGATACTTTGTCGTACATCGCGCCCATTAAGAATCACTCAAGGTTGTGTATTTATAAATGGTATATGAAGATAATGTTCATCTTATTGCTTTACGCTTGAACATTTTTATACCTATTTATGTTACTGAATTTATTATTATTTTTTTTTTTGTTTCAATTTGAAATCGACCATTTCGTAGCGAGAGTTGGAAAGAAACAAAAAAAGAACAAAAAAAATCACCTTACTTAATAAAAGTCAAATAATATTTGTTACCGTAAATTGTCATGGTTACTTCAGGGTGATACTCAAATCTCACGTGCGAATAGGTCTACAGATCGCAGGGTAAAAATTGTTGGGTTGGTGAGGGTAGGGGGTAACTATAGATACATTCTTTTCTTATTAAGAAGACAGTTTTCTGAAAGAAAATCGCAAAATCTACTTTTTTTTAGGAGCAAAATGTTTCATAACATTACATCATATCGACTGTCAGTTCGACATTATCATTTCAAGGGTAAGAAAGTTGGGACATAAAAACTGAGCATTGGCCTAAGATCTAACAAAGTCGCTTGGGATCGTTAACTCCGCAAGATTATGTTTCACCAGAATAAACTATGTATCAAAAGGGTTTTAAAAAACACTAAAGAGCCTTGGCTCATTGATTAAGGAAGCAACAAGAAAAACCATGGCTAGGCAATATAGGGAAAGCAATCGAAGAGCCTTGGCTCAGGGATAAAGAAAAATCTAGAAAAACCATATCTCAGTGATATAGAAAAAAAAACAACAGAAGAGCCATGGCTCATTGATACAGAAAATAAGTATGAAAGAAACCTCATTGGAAATAGGACTATAAAACAAGTTTATTCTCTTCTAAACAACATTGTCCCGGTGCCTTCATTTCTCTGAACCTGTACAAAGTTCCTAAACTCTACTGCACCAACGTAACCTTCATAGTTAGCATTGTAGAAGTCTCCATTCCCCGCCACAACAACATCATGTCGAGTCTCACATTTGCCTCTAACCCCCCCCCCCGCCAACTTTGCATCTAACACCCCCCTCCCTCTGTTTTTTTCTCACCTAATACATAACTCAGATTTGTCATCATTTCTCTTTCAACTTCTGCCGCACAATAATTGTAAAATCGATGTCGTATTATTTTTAAAAAAAATAATTTATTAACTTATAAATGTATACGTCTTATCTATCGAATCCATCATCCTACAACCATGACATTAAGCTGTGATAGCCCTAGCTAGACGTGGTGACTTTGAGAGTAGTAGACCTATATTTTAATCTTTTGCATTTCTCTCTAAAGAAAAATAGCATAGGCGTTCACAAAACTTCTTGTTTATGTTAAATCTCACAAATGTTCCCTGAAAATTTGGTTTAAAATTTAGAAAAAAAAAAATTTTTAAAGGACATTTATCTTTGTCTTGACGCTAAATCACCCCCACCCCCCCAAAATTTGGTTTAAAATTTAAAAAAAAAAAAATTTTTAAAGGGCCTTTATCTTTGTTTTGACCCTAAATCCCCCCCCCCCCCCCCCCCCCCACACACCTTTATAAAAAATATTTTCCACACACATGAGCAGTTGTCAAGTAGTCTACAGTTATTATGATTTATTTTTTATAAAACCACCACTGATATCATGACGTCATTATTTAGCTTCCACCCAACCTGTTTGAACATTCAGGTCACAAAAAGACGGATTTCACTTTCTATACAAAACAAGACATTAGTGAGGGAGCAAAAAATCGGAATGTGCACCATAAAAATAAGAAGAAAAAAAAACTTGGAGGTCGTTTTTGCTTTAACTCACTTAATTGTAGTTGTTTTTTAGCCAATTATTTTTTTCCTCTTTACTATGCCTTTAATTTTGTTTTTTCATAACTTTAAATTCAGTGGAAGCATAAGACTATTCAATGATAGCCACGCATGCATCATACAATCACGGCCATTATCTAATTGTTACAATCAATGTTATGATTTTAAATAAACGGCACTCTCTTTACATTTTTTCAGGGACATTAAATATAAGAACTATAGTTTGTCGAAATAGGTATTTTTGAAGGAATGGATTTAAATCTTAATTCTTATTAATAACCCTGGCGAAAAAAAAAATCAGCTTAGCATAACATTATGTTTACACTATTATGCAACATCCGACCTCCACCCACTTTTCCCCCTACAAATAGGCAGACACTGCAATAAAAAATTGCAAAGGTTTGTTGCCGTTTCTTTTTAGGTACGTCACTTCCTAAGCGAGATAACTCCTACAGTTATTATTCGAGGTGAATTGATTTCGTTGGAGAGACGCGTTGTCATGGAGATACTACGTCACTACACGGCTAGCAGAAAATTTTCCTTATGAATTATAGTTATGAAAGTCCATGATGCTAGATTTATCGATTCCTATCGCGAGCGTCCTGAAGATAAGTACTCCTATTATCTCAATGAAAATAAGAGCTAATCAAAAGTAACATTGAAAGGTATGCCAACTTATAAGAAAGGTCTATCTAAGAAGAACTGCCTATGGTTATGCCTATCACTACTATCAATCAATAATATAATAAATATATGACAATTGAATTATGTCGGCTTATGCATTTTGTTTTGCCTTAGCCTTTGAATATGGAAGATAGCTCCTCCGGCCCTTAGCGTCAGTTCACACTATCAAATTCCTTTCAGATAGCTCCTCCGGCCCTTAGCGTCAGTTCACACTATCAAATTCCTTTCAGATAGCTCCTCCGGCCCTTAGCGTCAGTTCACACTATTAAATTCCTTTCAGATAGCTCCTCCGGCCCTTAGCGTCAGTTCACACTATTAAATTCCTTTCAGATAGCTCCTCCGGCCCTTAGCGTCAGTTTACACTATCAAATTCCTTTCAGATAGCTCCTCCGGCCCTTAGCGTCAGTTTACACTATCAAATTCCTTTCAGATAGCTCCTCCGGCCCTTAGCGTCAGTTCACACTATCAAATTCCTTTCAGATAGCTCCTCCGGCCCTTTGCATCAGTTCACACTATCAAATTCCTTTCAAATTCGCGTCGAATTTTTGTATGAACCACTATTTTGTGCCTGGGTGGTTTCCGTTTTGGGGACAAAAATATGAGACTTTGATCAAATAGTAATTTGAAAGTTGTGACAAGGCTCCATACAAACAATCTGATCAAATGTTTGAACCAAAATTTGAAAGGAATTTGATCTTGTGAACTGGGCCTTAGTCTTTTCCACCTTGCAGTTTTTGCTATTTCAGTTTCAATAATATATAATATAATAAATATAATAATCCCATTAAGATGAAAATCAACGGAAATGACAAAATATCTCGAAATTTTTTGTGTGTGTGTGTTCATTTCCGTTGATTTTCATCTTAATGTGATTATTATATTTATACCTTTTCCTAATCTTTCATTTAATTCTTTAGTAGAAACTTCACACAAGCACAATAAGAAAGTCAATTGTTAATGTCAACATTTTGGTGAAAAGGTATACATTTCATTTTCAATAAATTAGTATTGATATTTTTTCCTCTGCAAAATTACCCAGATTGAACATCAATTAAGGCAAAAAGATGAATGGCTTATAAAAGTAAAATATAATTTTTAAAAATTATTTTATGTGAGGGATTAATTTCTAATCATGATACAAATCTTTATAATTGATAAACATATATCCACATATCAGCATGACCAATTGCAAGAAAAGTCCTATATAGACCATTTTTTTAAAATATGAAAATGATTTAGTACTTCTGTATTGACATTCCAGCTTGCCTCTTAAGAGGACCTGCTAAACATTATAATTCCCGTTTTCGTTCCTAAAAATATGTTTCAGAATATTGATTATTCCGTTCTTGATTTGATTAAATATGGGTTTGATAAGTTATATAAAACAAAATGATTATTAAGACATATAATATTTATTCACTTCTGGATTTGATGACATATCATGGGGGTCATGTGTTAGGTTAAAGTCATTGAATGTTTGTTGTGTGCTGAAATGTGTACTGTTTTCTCCCTCTACAAGAAATTTACTCATTGATTTATTTACAGCTTCTTCTAATCAAAATAACATCTAGTACAGTTATAGAATCTGTAATATATTATGTTTAGTGAGATTATATCAGGAACTAGCTAATTATTTCTTTAGATTTATCATAGTATGATAAAATATATGAAGTAAAAAAAAAGGCAATTCTAAACAAAATACTATACTGTAATGTAAAATAAATAAAGTTAATTTTGGTTATATTATTAGTCAACACCTGCCAGAACTGTTGTGATCTATATCATTGTCCAAATAGTTATAATGTGGCCACATAAGTTAAACTAAAATAAGCTAAAACTCTATATGGTCTCTTGGATTTGAAAAATAATCATTGTGTAACTTTAAAAAAAAAATTCTTCCTAAACTTCACTGAAAACTTTTTAAATTGTACATGAAATTTCAAAGGGTGAAAATGCCAGAGAAACATTCATTTTCCTTCAATACTCACTCTGGAATACACTACCTGCAAATGTTTTACACAATAATAATATTTAAGATTTATGTTGTGCAGCTGAGAGCTACATAAAAATGGAAAATAATGGCAAGGTGCATACACAATTTTTATTTATAAATTCTCTATATCAAATAACAGTTAAAAAATTTGAATGTATAAATTTCCTAAAAAATATATAACTAAGTCAGTTTAATATCGATCTTTAAAACTTGATCTATTAAAATCACGGATAATTCTAGGATTTTTCAAACAGGTCATCAGCGTTTAGGGACTTTAAAAGTTATGACTTTTTAAAAAACTGTTATGTAATAGTTACTTACCCCTTAGTGACTCAAATGCATATGTAAAAAAAAAATGTTTGATGAATCTAAATGAATGGCAAAATTAGAAATTTTAAAAATGTATAACAAACAAATTTTATGGGGATAAACTTAATCCTACTTCTTAATGCATTCAATTTATCTTTGACATCTGACTGAATTCAACAAAATTTCCAATCATAGTCTCTCTGGGGTAAAAAATTTTTCATTTCAATTTTTTTTTAAAGAATCGCTGCTTCCTGGTGTACATGCAGCCAATATTATTAGTGTGGATATATATAGACTAGTTTCCAAAGCAATACCAAAATTTAAAAAAAGGCAAATGTTTTAAAATCAAAGTCAGTGTGGTGATGAGTCACACAACTATTCCTCAGCGCAGTGATTATTTACAAGATCTTTTATAACCTACAGTGCTAATGGTATTAAATAAACTTAAGGCACCACCAAAGTTTTGACTTGAAACCAAAAAAAATGTTTTAAAAAACTGTTTTCATCTTGAAGATTATAAATATTTATATCTATATATATATATATTTTTTAAAAATTTATATATTATTTATCTAAATATGTGTGTTCAAAACTGCATTACTTTCATGCTATTTACATTTGTTGTAAAATTCTATCCTACATTTATTCTTATTTTGGTGTAAAACATCTGCCCACAACCATTTTTCCTTTTTCTCCTTGGCTTGTCCAAATAAAACCCAAATATTTGAACTCTTCTCATTTTTAAGGACTTTTTTTTATTTCCTTGTTATTTTTCTGTGTCAAATGTCACTTTGGGGCAAATAGCATTTTTCTTAAATTTTTAAATAAACTTTTAATGATAATTGTATGATAATTCTTTAAATTTTTAACCATAATATTAATCCCAGAAAAATACACACTGTGGCAGGGAAATGAATGATATGTGTCACTTATCTGTAATAATTTTAAAGTCAATGAATCATTGTTAAAGATCACAACACACAGAAATCAACTAATTAAACAAAGAAAAAGGATGTGTAACATATTGCACAGTTTATTTTAGCAACTAATCACATGGAATGTTAAATAATTAAAATTGATTCCTTATTTCTATCACCCCAAAAAAAACACACGAAGAAAAAAACACAAAAATAATTGTCCTAACCTCATTTCTATTTATGTAGGATTAGTTTACCTAGTTTTCAGTTCATTTAATTTAATTTTAAATAACTTCAAATTTACATTTCTTTCTAAATGGAGAAACAAATTTGGCCATAAAAAAATTAGTATAAATCACATTATGATGAAATTGCAAGTATTTCAAAAAGGAAAAATCCACAGCTAGACAATAAAAACAATTACCTTTATAAATTTTTTCTAAAACAAAATATAAGGAAACATGTTTAGGGACTCAAATTCAAGTTCCTAAATTTTTGCTTCTGCTCTGTTTCATTGAAACAAAAAAATATCGCTGAAATATGCCTCCTAGAGGCATAAAACATTCTATGGCAGTCAGTACACATGAAATGAGGACAACCACATCTCATAGGCTCACAACACAATATCGTGAGGGTTCAAATCTTTACAGTAGCTGAGCATTCAAAGTCTACCTAACTTTTGCATTGACATCTCGCATTTATAACTCTGTATTAAAAATGCAGCAAGTGCCAACAATATCTTACAGCCTTTGAAATTCTTTACAGTAAAAGAGAAGACATTTTGGCACTAAAGTAATGCAATGGGGCAAGTGCTTGTGTGCATAAGTTTAACAACAAAGCTGAGGATCACAACAAAATTTTGTATTTTTCTGAACGAGGAACACGATTAATTACGACACGACCATCATAACTGAGGGAAGCAAATGTCCATGGGTCAGCACTTGACCAGTCCACAGCATAGACACTGTCTTCATGTTCTTCATATGTTGCTATAACACCATCTTTTGGAGGCTCATGATTCCTGGATGAAAAAGTTTTGGTTACATATTTCTTACTATGTTTAACAGCTACAATGTGGATTAAATAAGAATCAAGCAAATGCCAACAATGATAAAATGGCAGTGACTACCAAAGTGTGGGCTGATACACCCTGGGGAACCACAGGTTCCGCATAGGTGCCCTGTGCATACCAGGTATTACAAATTCAATGTGCTAGGAAGCCAAACTTTGAGGAACTAGTGCAAACAAGTAACTCATTCAGTGGTAAATTTTTGCTGATGCCCCAACAAATGGTTTGTAGATGGAACTCTACAACATTTGTACTTCTTAGAAATTGATATAGAGCGCCTTGTAAAAAACCTAGTCTGCATGGAAGCTGTGAATTAAAAAAGCTTTGGAATAAATAGCCAGAGAGTTTAGACAAAATTTTTTCCGACTCATATTATTAATTATATCACAATTTTTTTTCCCTCTGACAATGTCCACTTATCATTTAATCAACTTCAGAAAAATTGTTGCCATATAAAAAAATGGCAAATGAATGAGAAAATATTTTCAGAGGTCACAAAAATCTTCCAGCTGTGTTGCATTGTGGGAATGATCTCTCTTTATAACAAGCTATTCCCCCACCATTTCAAGTTGCTCTCTTACACCCTTCCCACCCCCTCATCAAATATTATTGTTTTAAATGATTTCATATGGCTCACATAGTTTATATATCAAACTAATATAGCAGCAGAGTCTCCAAAGTTGGTTCAGATATTTTTGTTAAACACATTCTTAGGGGTAAAATAGCTATTAAAAAATTATAACAGCAAAATTGGGATACATGTATAACTAATGGTAATAATATTAGAATCGAGAAAAAAAATAACTCTGTATAATTCATTTCTCACCCTTCATTCTCAGCATCATCAGTGTCATCTTTCTCTGTCAGGCGACCGTAGGGCTCAGAGGACAGCGACACAACACTGTTTAAAATCACACGGCTGTCACTGCTGGACGTCAGCACCAACTGGTCATGGAAATGGTTGTATCGAACTGACCAAACCCTGAATAACGAGAGGGGAATATCATTATAAACTTGTGCAACAGTTTAAAAAAATGAATAAATGTACAAATAAATGTACAAAGAACTTATGCTAATGTGTGGTCCAGCACTGATGTTTTTTAAACAGTATCTACAACACAGCTAAGTCTCTTGATAAAGAGTAAAGCACACAAAGAAACAGTGAGTTAATAAGTTTAAGCTTCCACTGTGCTATGTAAGACTGTTTGAAATTAACTTGACTAACACAGTCCTAGCTAAACTAGTTTTGCTAGTGTAACCCTCCTCGCTGCCTAAACAAAGGGAAATAAGTCAATTGGAAACTCTTAAAAAATAAATGAACATTTTTTTGTCCAACCCTTTATGAAATTAAATAATCAATACAATTTCAACAGTCAAACATTTTCACATGTTAACTATCAAAACCATGACTATAGTCACCCAGGTGACAACATCTACATTTATTGTACTGATCCTATCTATTGAGTAATCTTGAACTAAACCACAGGAACACCAGGGCCATTTTTTGCATGAGTTTCAATAGATCTAAATCAGTCTGCTCAATAGTTTCATCAATTATCTGTAAGCTAATAAATTTCTCGAGAGCTAAAATAAGCCAAGCTAAAATTCTTACTCGTAACATAGGAATGAAAGAATAAAGCAAAAAAACCATTTGGCATTTCATCATAAAAATGCAGTGACATTCTGTAAAGAAAATCAATAAATTGTAGCAGTGATGTTCTTGGTACTTAGAAAGCAAGGTGCCCTACGAAGCATAATGCATCACAAAGCATTTCTTTGCACAAAAAAAGAAGCAATGTGTTAACCCAAGCCTATATTAAAAATGTCTCTATTTAACCAAATAGAAAAATGTCCCACTTAAAAATTTAAAAATCAGAATTTCATATTATAATCATCCTTTCAGAATTGACAGAGATAATTTAAACTTTACCAGTGCGAGTGCTCAGACAGCACTTTGAGGGGCACTGTGACATTGCGGGTGTCCCAGAATTTCACTCTGCAATCATCCCCACAGGACACCAAGTAGTATTGTTTGTTGGGGTTGAAGTCCAAGTCCCTCACCATTTGGCTGTGAGCAGATTCAATCTGATACACTTGGCTAAGGAAAGAGTCAATGAAATAAATTGTACTCTTGGCTAGATATGTTACAGAGCTGAAAGGGTAATCATTTTTATGACACGTTTTTAATATTTGGGATTATGTCCTTGACAGTTTAATAATTTCATTAATAATAAACTGTTATTAGTCAATTTTGCACATAAGTAGCATAAACCATTTTGATTTAATTATGACAAATCATCTAAATAATAATGCCCTCAACTACCCAAATTTACTGATTCTTATTTTCATGGGTAACAAATATGATAAATACCTCGAACAGGGAGGTAAGTTTATGTTATTTACCTCATTGATCTGAGGTCTATACCCCGAATGGATGTATCATTAGCTGTGGCAATTTGATTACAGTTGTGGTGGGGATTCCATCGTCCACAGGTCAGTTTGTGCTGACCCCTACCTTCAACACTGGTGCTACTTGTTACCTAAAAAAACAAACATCACATCCAGTTCTATTTTCAAGACAAAAAAAAATAATTTAAAAAACAACACAGGAACAAAATAATTGCCTGTAATTAAACTAAGTCACCAAATCATATTTAAAACTATTTTTTTTAACTTTTTTTTTTTATTTTTTACTTTTATCTACCATTATTTCAAAGCATTTGAAAAGTATTGCTTAAGTAAAAAAATCTGCAAAATTTGGAATTAAAAGATAGGAAAACTGCGAACTTTGGCAGATGATGAAGCAGAATCTAGATCCCAGCACACAATTTTATCCTCGCACAGACCAATAACAGAATGACTGTCTCCACCAGGGTGCCATAATACACTGAAAAAGATATAACAGTAAATTAAAAATGACATTAAGTTCAGACCCTTATGTATGAATCTAAATCTAGGGGGTATGTTCATAAAATTAAAATCACTTTGTACGATTGCTGATGATAACATTTTAAAAAAAAACAAATTTGCACACATTATCATGTTAATTAAAAATTTGTTTTTTCACTAATCAGTTTCAAAATTAGGTAATATTCTGGTGAATCAGTTATTTGAATTTCAAGAAGAAAAAAATGAGCAATTCATTGCATTATGATATCTTATTTCTGGACAATCTAAAGAAAAGTTTTTAAAAAATTGTTAAGGCCAAATAAAACGTGTCCATTTATATCAGCATATCTTCTGTCAGGTTCACCAAAACACTTCTTAGAAAAATTACAAAAGGTTCAAAACTCAGCTGTTAGGCTAGTTCTATAGGCAAAAAAGACGTGATCACATCACACCACTACTTAATTCACTTCATTGGCTCCGTGTACAAGCACGGATTGACTAAAAACTCTCTGTTCTCTACAACAACTTTTTCTCGAATTCCTGCCCTTCCTATATTACCAAACTTCTTCCTGTTTATTCACCCCTTCGACATCTTCGCTCCTCCGCAGACATGCATATTCTTTCTGTACCCAAGACTCGCAAAAAAATATATTGTGAACAATCTTTCTCTTTCCGTGCCCCTAAACAATGAAATTCTCTTCCATTACACATCCGCAATATACCGACTATCCCAGCCTTCAAACTGCTCTCAAAACACATCTTTGTAAACTCTACTATCCTGACTGATTCCCACATCTGACCGAAAAACGATGCTGCTGGGCGTCGTCCATGGCTTGACAAGTAAATAGTTTTAAATATACATTTGTTTTGTTTTATTTAATTAATTTATGTTAATTTATTTTTTAAGTTCTTGATTATATTTGTTAAATTGTATGTACTAGGCTGGGTAGCCATAAAACCATTTATAATAATAATAATAATAATATACGGATATATATTTAAAATCATAACTTTCTTGCAGCTGAAAAATGAAAAAAACCAGTTAGAACAAATTAGTTTTGCAGAAAAGTAAACACAAACAACAAAGGATCTTTTTGATTTGAATATTATCATTCAAACTTCATAAATATATACAGACACAACATCTTTAATTGTTACCCTTTGACATCACTGTGTTCTTCTGGTGTCAGATAACATTTGAACTGAAGATGGGGATGAGAACTGGACGTGTCATCTGCTGATGGATTGAAGGGATCAGCTGTTCCTGGTAACTGCCATACTGCAGCTCTTAACTCTGACTTTGCGTCTGAAGCTAAACCAAAATTTAAAATAAACACAGAGCACATTATTTTTTGTCAACAAAATACGCTTGTATTTACTTGTTATATAGATTATATTGATTATTTATTTTGAATTAAAAGCTAAGTTTAGTGTTAAATTAATCAAATTTGCTTTGAATTACTTTATGAATTAAAAAAATTATATTTTTAGTTTCTAAAAAGCAAAATTATGAGCGACCAGTGACAGAGGAAAAAAGCATTTTCAATTAAATATGGAAAATAATTTTGTAAAGTATGATAGGCCTTAAAACTAAAAATAATACATTGCATGCCTTTATCATTTTTATGTGATGTCAGAACTAAATGTAGAACTTCATTTTAAACAAGATGTTACGCACTGGCTTCTATGGTGAAAAATTTATCTCCTATTTTAATTTTATGGCTCGTTCAAACAGTACCTAACAAAGGATGATACCATAGAGAAATACAATAACAAATATACAACACCGAAAACAGTACCGATTACAATTAATAAAATTTAATTTAGTAATAATACAATTATAAAACAAAAGAAATATAATTACAAATCATCAAATTACAGCGTATGGTAGATCATGTACCAGTACACAGATAGTACAATGTGCCAATTAATAATGTACAATGATGAAATGCGAATAAACACATATATAAGAACACAAAGCATAATACACGTCTCGTAAAGTTAAAAATATCTATCTGAATCGTTAAAAATATCTATCTGAATCTATCTCAATCTCCGTCCCTGTCAATCCTTTATATATGCAGCGTAAGCACTGCCTTCCAGAAGCTGTTCAGCATTTTTTTACGTTTCTAGAACAAATTGCGATCATTCCACAACAAACTAGGAGATATACTAACCATGTTTAATTGGTTGCCGGTAGTAAACAAGATACATCAAAGAGATTTAACCACGCCCACAACAAACATTACCATCTGCTAGGAGTCTAATGCAGGGTCAAAGAAAGTTCACGCACGGGGAAAAAGTGTACTACATAACACAAGATATTAGCTGCTTAAAGGATTACATCAAAACTAATCAAACCCAGAATAGTCTTACTTTCTTCTAATTCTAGGTACTATAATAATGGTCTTACTTTTGTTAAAACAAGTAGAAAGAAGTGATGCATCGAATGTTGATGAACTGATGTTCCAAATTTCTCCTTCCCGGTGCAAAAAAACTGTTTTGTTGATTACATTGTTTTCGTCATCAAAGTCTATGTAATGGACCTTAGTAGTATGAGACATAGAGAAGAAATTAAACATAAGTTACTATATCAAGGGCCTGAATAAACTCACATATTAATGATAGAATCCTAAGATAAATTCAATGTATTTAATTTTATAAATAACCTATTTGATTGATGATACCTTATTGAATGTCATTAATTTCACATCATTTTAACCCGCCACCCCCTTTTACCCCCCCCCACCCCCCACCCCAAAAAAAACAAAGAAAGAAGTGGTTGTCGAATGGTGTGTTACAGTTAGTTGACTCGGGATTTATGGGTTGCCAGCTGAAGCGTTATGGGTTGTCTTTTCTTCTTCTATACTTTGAGGGCACACGATCAGTGGATTGATCATTCTGTAATTGAAAACAATAATAAAATATTAGTAGAACACATTTTTGGGTATATTAGGTTTTCTGCTATAATTTGCCTTATTTCTGTTTACACATAATGTTTTTTAGTTTCCCCTTAGATCTCAACTATGGATCTTGGAATTATGTTCCTCAATGTCTTTCTTGCCTTTCCCTAGAGTGGGTATTTTTCGAACACATGGATGCATACATTACTACCATATGATACTAAACAGGTTGTGGTGTTGCAGAATATTGATTTTTAAGAGAATGTGAACATTTGTATTCTGGCATTTCATTTTTTTATTTAAATTTTCTATTTAATTCATCTGTGTTCAGAAATCCCATCCAACAGTCTTTTAAGATTATTTGGTCAATTTTGGTGATCCTAATCTTGTTTGAATATCTTAATGTCTTATCAGATAAAACATTATCCCAGATCTAACCTTGACCCAATTCAACTAAATGCTAACTTAGGTTGAAGCATCTTAAATAAAAAGATTTTTAAGGGACCAACCTGATTTTCTGCTCTTAATGACTGTGTTCCAACAAGAAATCTGATGTTGTCTGTTTCAGCTTCTTGGGCACAAAGTGATCTGGCCTAATGAAAAATGGCAGCTTCTTAATATTAAGAGAAAATCTATTCATAGATGTTCACTGAACCTATCAGGTAGCCTTTGTGATATTGAACAAAACAAGCCATCCCCAAGTCTAATCCCATTTCAACGGAGGTGAGCACAATGACAAATCAGATTTATCCATCACTGCACTTATTTCTGACACTAATACACCAGTGAAGAATGAAAGCAAGTTAATTCAGATTTTCAACCTCGATCATATGGAATCAATCAAATACTCTCTTAATAGTGGACATCGATTTCCCATATATTTTTCTTCTCATGAGGTTTGAAATCTTAAATTTTATGTTAATAATATTTAATAATAAAGTATTCTTTTAACTCTTATAATCTCCTAAGAAGAACATACCACACTTACTTATGAGGTATGTATGCACGTTAAGGTTTTGAACAACTTGACTTTCACCTCTTTTATAGAGTGCTTCTGGGTTCTCAACATGGAGCCACATTGAATTCACTGAGATTGTTTTTATCACTAATGTTTTTGATTTCTAATTTTCTGTTGTTTCTTGTTTTGTATTTTCTGCTGAAAAAGACATCTAGCCCAAAACTTCTTTATATCCTGTAATTTTAGCAGGCTCAGACATTTTTTCTTAATCTTAGTAAGTTCTTAGGCTTAGCAATGACTTAGTAAATAATAATACACGACTTAGTAAATAGTAATAGTAATAGACTTTCTTAAGTTTACGTTTACTAAAAATAATTTTTAAATTCTTTTTGTGACATTTTGCACACACTGTGACAGTCTATGCTACGACTTTGAGTGAGTATTATCTGCTGGAGAAGGAGGCATTAAGTATAAGTATTAAGTTGAATTGTCTGTATAATTATCCTGTATTTTTTTAAGCTTAACAAAGAAATTCTAAAGTAAAGAGTAAACTGTGTTAGTGTGTAAAGAAAGGCTGGCTAAACTTAACTCAATACTAAACTTAGTCTTAGGCCTAAAGTTACCAAAGTTAAAGCCTAAGCCGCCTAAGCCTAAACTAAAACTAACTGTTAAAAACTAAATTAAAAATAAGATAAAACTTTAACTTTATCCACTATTACTTCCAACTAGTTATTGCGAAGCCGCGATTGTAAGCAGTTTTATAAGACGGTCTAAGAATCGGACTCAAATAATGCCATTAAAAATTTACAGACCTGAAATTCCAAACCGTAAATGACGGGAGCTTCGTCTTCCATTATACTTAATTTTATAAGTTGGATTATTAAACGTAAACATTACACCGTTTCCTGTTAGTCATTTCCGATTATTAAATCTTAAAATTACGTAAAATTAAACGAAATCCAGGCATCCAGGTTTCAGAATTCATGTCCTAATTATCCTATTACTTGATATTTTATAAAATATATGTACAGAGATTGTTTAGGATTTTTAAAATTTTAACATGAATTTACTAAAGTTTTCTCAAGCCTTTGCAATAGAAAAAATAATTAAAAATCATATATATTTTTTTATATCCCGTCCCTTGATTCCGGTATAATTTTAAATTTTACCTTAACAACCATCTTAACCAATATAAACAAATATATTGCTCTGCCATGAGTTCGTTTTTCTTTGGATACATTAAAAGTAGTTAAACGGTATATATATATTTTTTTATATATTATATATGAATGCATTTCAATCCATATTTTGATGATGCTCATAATTCTAAGCTTAAACTTCTTTAAAAAGTTTTAATAAAGCCTAACTGCTCAAGTTAAAGTGGGCCTTAAAAATGGCCTCTTCGTCTTGAAGTCTTCATCTCTTCTAGTCTAGTCATCTGATCACCATCATGGCCATGCCATGCTAAACTATGGCTAGTTTTTGGCTAGTAATATATACCTACAGTATAATATAGGGCACATTCTTTAGTCTAGCCCAACCATTACGTTATAGTTTATACTTATGCTGTCTAAAGTATATAATTATTATAACTTATAACAGACTATATTATAGTTATAGGCCTAAAATTTATAATTTATCTGACCCCATCAATATCAATAATCATGGTGTATTTACCCAATTCATACCGTTGGGACTATACGGTATTATGTTATGTATATACAAAATATATATAACATTCAAGTTGTTCAAAATGCTCTAAAGCTTGTTATGATGAAGACATGATATTTTAAAAAAAAAGCAATTGACTAACAAGGGATTTTCTAGTTTTAGTTTGTCGGTCATAGTCATAGAGTATTTTAAAGTTAGACCTCATCAGTAGTTGGATAGTAAGTATTTGAGAGTACCGGTACTTCTTCAAGGACCTTCTCTGTGTATGCCTGCTCTGGAGGCATTCTACTGTCTGGTGACACCATTTTCAGGTTGCAAATCATTGTTTTTTATGTAACATTAGACTTAAGAAACTATGTTGTTGTTTTGTTCGTCCTTCCCATGCGAAGATGACTAAGACTAAGGCTATATAATATTCAATGGTTAGTACTCAGGTGGCCTTTTTGTACCTGGAAAGCTTTCCCTAACATGAGACACACACATTTTTTTTTTGATGCTAGTTGGATTTGAGTCGATTCTGTTTTTCTTTGTCTACACTTTATTTGGGCATGAGCAGTGTGCTTAATCTCTGAGGATTGTGCTCCAACAATGAGTCTGCCCAGTAAGCTTGTAAGATCCATAATAAGTGTTTCCCATGAATCAAGGTCAATGTCCATGGATTTGAATGAAGCTTTTAGACAGTCCTTGAAGCATTTTTTCTGCTTAACAGCTGAGTGTTTCCCTCTAGAGAATTCAATGAACATTATTTGTTTGGGAAGCCTGCTGTCTAGTCTAGCATTCTTGCAACATGCCCTGCCTACCTATAAATATAATAGGTCATGAAACCATCTAGAGCAAACGCTATTAAATTTGAATTTTTATATTTTGGTGTCAAAGCCCTGTGATGGTGTCAACTGATGTGGTCTGCACCCCTCACTCCTCCAAGTGATGCCACTGAATATAATTATCTTTATTTATGTTTTGTTTTTAGCAAATGCAGTTAAATCATGACCAGTTTAAAACATTGCCTCATATTTTTTCTAACAGTAATTAAATTTATTATTTATCATAACAAGAGTCAACCAGATGGATTTTAAAAATATGCTGTTAATTATTGTAAAAAAATAATTAAGGGTTTTTCAAAAAATTATTTATTAGTGTTAAAATTTACCAATGCAATATTTAAGAATGTCAAATTGAGTAAATTTCTTTTTAACAATACAAATTATACATTTTTCAGATGTGTCTATAAGTATGAAGATGGCTAATAGTAACTGAATTGAGTACAGCTGTTAAAATGAAAACTGTATAAAAATACAATAATGGTGAAGTTAACTGTGGATTTTATTGCAAAAGGGACTTCAGGATATGCCAAAAAGAAGAAGGATGAGACTATAACCCAGTATGTTGGTCGACTGACACACTTGTATCTGGAGAACAAAAATATTGATGACATAGTAAGTGATTTCTGTTATTAAAAATTACAGCTGTATTATTTTTTAAAGCTTACATAATGTTACAGTTACATGATTTTTAACAAACCAACATATGCATTCTACCTTCAACAAGCATAAACGTCATTTAAAAAATATAAAATATCTAATTTGATACATGTTTATTATTAACATGGTGATGATTTATACAGTAATAAATAGCATTATTATATCCAAACAAATTTTATATTTAGTTTCATTTAAGTTTCTAGCTTTCTTTACCTGACTTTCTGACGGATACGTTAAACTTTAATAATTAATATTTCATTTTTTTTCTTTTTTTGTTGAAAATTTTTAGCCTTTCAGCGGGCGCACTTTTTTTGCAATGATACCTGATGCATTGTATCAAATTGATATTGCTAATGAGTGACTGGTTAAATTAGTTTATTTTATTTGAATATTGCAAAATAATACATTTTTTAGATAATGTAATGAACAAACAATATAAAATGGAGAAGTAAGTTTTAAAAAAAACACATTTATATAGAAATTTTATTTTTTTTACTTTTATTAATGGGTACATAATTCTGGAGCAAAAAATAGAAATAAAGATCACACATTCATAAAAGCAAATCCATTACATAAAATTTGATTTTTTTTTATTGACTTTGCACCTCTTCAAGTAACTTGAGGCAGCATTCATTCATTGGAAAGAGTCTTTAAGATGTGTTTCTTCTAAAAATATTTTGATAATTTCCAAAATGAATAATTTGGGTGTTGATGTCACTTAAGTTTGACCATTGGTCAGCAAAATACATTTCTCCCTAGGCTGTACCATTGGTCTTGCATCACTTTCTTGCTGAAATTTTGTGTTTTCATGTTTTAAATATATTGATTTTTATAGTAGATATCACTGAAACGGCAACTTCTGCTTTAAAGAGAGTACAAGCCATTTGTGCCGGGCCTATAATTCATGAAAGATTGCTAATTAAATTTATACTTCTCAAATGCACTCTGTTGAAAGGTTGATTCTTATTCCATTCTGTTTCTGTCTTTTCAAACAAAATAAAAAAATTATTTTCAATAGTATCTTCTAGATTCTAGATCATCATTATTATCTTCTTTCCACCATGAATCTTTCTGATGAATTTCAACTGCATCTTGACTTTCTGTGTCAATCTCATCTTCTAAATCTTCTTCTATTTCTTCATCCTCAAAGTGTATTCTTTGAAATTCCTCTATATTCTTGAGATTTGTAAGATTTAACATTTTCGTACAACCCTCTCTGTTAGACAGTAGAAGTAATCTTAAATGAAATAAGGCTCAGTATAAATATCTTATTTGGGCACAATGTATCAATTTGATATTTACTATTTAAAAACACACAGACATTATTTAAAAACTAGGTAATGTATAAATATGTATATAAATATGAAGGAAGAAACTTACCAGAGCAAGAAAATAATATAATTGTCAAACTTCAAGAAAGTATTATGCAAAGGTGTGGTGTATCACGCATGGTGTATCAATTTGAACAAAACAACCAAAAGCTGCACTATGAAAGCTTTTTATAGACACTAGACGGTGTTGGCCTATAAAGGAAAGGAAAACACTAAGCTAAGCTACTGATAAGCATTAATGTGTGCAAAACAAAAATGGTTGGCTTGTATCAAAGTGAACAGATCCGCCTGCCGAAGGGTTAATTAACTTTTTGCACTACACTAAAATCTTTAAAATCTTAAGCTAGCTCTTAACAATTGTATAACAGATAAATGTTTAATCAACAATTTTTACCTTAACCTATAATGAGTTAAAGCTCAATAACTGAATGTCTAATGTTTCAAATCTATTCACAACACATTTATTTAGTAATTTAATTTAAAATGAAATTTTATTTTTTTTTGTTTATCTAGCATTTTAAGATAAAGCTAATAGTTTGTCTTCTTTTTATTTTATTTATAGGGTGACGGCCTTGCATCATGCAGAAACTTAGCAGTCTTATACCTATATGACAATCAACTTAATCGAATTCCATGCCTTAACAGCAATTGTGGTATAACACATCTGTATTTACAAAACAACAAAATCAGTATCATTGAGAACTTGTCTACACTCCCACAACTTCAGAAACTGTAAATAAATATATATATATATATATATGTATATATATTTTTTATTATATGTGTTTTTTCTAAGAACAAATTTGTCATTTATGCTAGGTGGGCAAACATTTTAATGGAGATACAATTATTTTCTATTTGAAAACAAAATAAAATATATTTACATTCATGTTTTTACAGAGTAATGAGTCAGATTTTAACAAATGCTTTTCAGTTATATCGGAGGAAACTTTATCAGAGTGATGGAAGGCTTAGAAAATTTACAGAAATTACAAGAGTTGCACATTGAGCATCAACATTTGCCTTTGGGAGAACAATTGCTATTTGATCCCCGTAGTCTTAAGGCACTAGAGGTAGGCTTTAATTTTGGTTTTATTCTACTTCACTTATATAATGATAATGATGAGGCAAATTGAAATTAATACAGAGTAATATTAAAAAAAAGAAAAATTGTATGGGAATGTTTTATTTACTAATAATTTATTGGCAACATGATGTATCAATTATTATAAAATGTATGCAAATATTTTGTATCTATTTATTTCGCAACAGTCGTGTTTCGTCAATTTTTAAAATGGATAAAAATAGTATACAATGTGAATTCTGAAAATTTGAATGCTGAATTTGTAAAAAACAGATCACTGGTAATAGTTTTAATTCTATTTATCATGTCTTTTGAAAGTCTTCATTACAAGTTCTGAATGTGTCTGGGAATCACTTGACTAGCATTGATGATCTCAGACAACTGCCACATCTCACTCATTTGATGGCAGCTGATAATGAACTGACTGACATGAAGGAGCTGGGACAATTACTCTCAATCTGGCATGCCCTCGTCCGGCTGGACCTCGCTGGTAATCCACTGTGTCAAAGCCCTAAATACAAGGATAGAATTATAGTAAAAGGGAAAAACTTAGGTATGTTACATATTAGCATTTTATTTTAACAATATTTGATAGCATATTATATTAAATTTTATTTAACAGACATTAAATTATTTAAAGTTTGATTAGCTAAACAAATTAGTTTCAAATGTGAAGCTTGTCAGCAATGACTATGTTAAATTATGTTTATATCCGTCTCATCAGGATCAGAGCACTGATTTTTATTCCCACCCGATTATCCAATTTTTTAAAAAGTAAAAAATGAAAAACAACTGAATAGTTGTAATCCATAAAGATTTCATACTGCAAGTTCCAGAACAAATGTTACAAATCAGAAGAAATGTTTTTGCTATTAGCACATAAATTGCTAATGTTGAAAGGAAATTAAAGAGTATAGGTGTACCATATCTTATTAAAATACTTCAACTAAACTTAGAAATCTGGTCTTATTATCCAGAATCCACTGTCTTATGAAATCTATAGTAATCCAGATCAGAATTATGGATGGATTTTGTACCAATGTTTGTTTAGTGCTATAATTCAATAATCTGTATTTTACAAGCCCAGAGAATGAAGTTAATATCATTGTATATGCAGCCGTGTGTTGACGTGGCTTATTACGGTTTAAACATACAAATTATGCAATGCAGATCTGAAAACAATAGCTTTTATTCTTGAGGTACAAGACGTTGAACAGACAGTCAAATCTCTCACACATGCAGCCGACCCGAAGTATCCATTCCACACACACTCCAAGTCTCAGTTCACCCCCATGGGTTAAATCACCCACCTTATATAGCCCATAGTCATAGGGAACCCACATCACGAGCTGATCATGGGTCAAGCCCAGGGCAGGGTTGGTCATCCACGCGTGTAAATAGCCAAACATAAAATTTAAGGCCCAGTACACTGCTGTGTGTTACTTTAAATGACCATGGATGTGTTTTTGCTTGGGGTTACCCACAGCAGTCACACTATGAGAGGAGATTGTATTCTCTTATTCCTATCGGTGGCATAAAATGTTACATAAATGCAGTTAAAAATAGTGGTACATTGCTACATATATAAAAAAAAAATTAATAGGTATTTACATATTAACCTTCTCAGTTTTTCCAATTTTGAAAATATTATTATTATATTTGATTATTACAGTGGTATTATATAGCGAGGTAACCCAGCCTATACCCCCTAAAAACATAATCACTATAGGCTCTTTTATCATCTTCACTACAAATTTCAACTTGCAAGCAATTACTTCATTTAATACTTTTCTATTCTTAGTTGTGCTCTTTTATTACAGCAAATATTTATAAAGTGGAACTAAAATCAGAAGTTATTTAACTATACTTATAAAGTAGTCAGAAGTATAGCCTAGAGATAAAGTCAAGTGTAAGTAAATAAAGAATCATTTTCATTACTTTTAAAATCAGATGTGCTGGATGGAAAGAAGATAACAGACACAGCACGTCAATTTTTGATGAACTGGCAGGCAAGTCGTGACGAGAGCCGCAGAAGACAGCATGACAATATGATGAGGGATGACACATTTTTGTCTACCACTGTTGGATATGAAGGTAAGTTTGTTTGGTTTTAAGATTCTTTTTTACTCAGTAGTATGTTGGGCTTATGTAATTCACAGATGGCTTGTGCTGGAGTTAATACTATTGAAACTGAAGTAATAGAAGCAATTTCTAAGTTTAATCAATGTTACTCTCCAAATGCTTACAGCAAACTTTAGTACATTAAGCATGGCATTCATTTAATAGATCATTAAATAAACATTATGATCCTTAATCAACTAGACATCTAGTGTATTTTTATTCATACAAGTTTTAAAAAAATTTTGAAGCTAAATAAATACCCAAATATTTTACACAGTATATTATTACGTTGTTATTTTTACTAAGAAAGATTTTTTTAAAGTTAATAATTTAGATATTTGGACAAGGAATTATTTAATAAGTAATTACTACTCGTTTCTCTAGTATTTATTTCTCCCTTTTAAATTGAGCTAAGTTTAATGTTGGTTTCTGTTGTAAACTATATGTAAATTAAAATTTTAATTTTTCTTTCGAAAAAATCGTATTTTGTTCTGTAAGCAACATTCTAAACCTTTTGTCTATTGAAGGTGCTGAGTTACCTCCACTTCGTAGTGCAACCAAGGGGCTAAGAAATATAAATGGCTATGTTATGCCAGGTAAAAGTATGACCATGTATAGAAATGACATAATCAAAGCATTTTTGGATGGCGTGACTCTACATAAAAATAGCTACTTGTTTGTATCTTTCTTTTTTTTACAAATAAATAAATGCAACAACTGGTTCCTGTATTTTCAAAGAAGACAAAACCATGTTATGAAACATGTATGCAAATGACAGTTCAGTTAAAATTTAAAAAAAAAAAAAAAGTTACAAATGAACAAAAGTTTTCTGAAAGCACAAGCTGCTAACGACTTTTTTAAATGAATATTTGAAGCTCAATTCTGAATACTAGAGACCCTTATACTGTCTTAGTAATAAATATGAGCTAACCATTTTTTCTCTTGTTGATATAAATTCTAACTGAAGTTTTTCCACATAAATCTGGAATTTCTTGTTAAATTTTGTTCCTAAAAATCAACTGTTAATGTCTCTATTCAAAGGCATACCAAGAAAGCAATTTGATGATATCTTGGCAAAATCAAATTTTCCAGACCGAGAAAGAAGCAGAAATGATATTTTAAGAGCAAAGTAGGTCTTTTTTAATAAATATTTCATTTTTGTATCTTAATAATTTTTACATACTTATTTTGCTATGGTATTTGAATAGCTTTTGACTAAGTCATTGTTAGAAGTATGACTTTGTAGTTTAAATAGCAACTGTATTTCCTAGAAGAAATTGTGTAAACCTATATTTAGGCACGTTGTTTTAGATTGTGGTTCCACTAAAATCATTTTCTTTTTTAAATTGAAATAATACTGCACACTATTACCAGCTTCAGCTATTATTTTTACAAGCACACCAGGGATGGCCTGATGTTTGCTTATGCTGCTATTCTTCTTCCTACAAAACCATTAATTTTAAAATTATTTAATGCATTTGAGAAAAATACACCAAAATTAAATGCATAAAAAATACAGTATATTTGCTAATCTGCATGCAAACTGAAAAGCATATTCATAAACCAAGACAAATCCATATCTGCCATATTCGAAAAAATTGATATGCCATCTTGTAAATAATTGGCAAGAGCAAAATAACCATTCAAAGACAAATTGGCTGCAGACCAAATGAGTGTCCTTGATCTTGGAGATGAAAAATGAGAACTCTGTTCAAACAAAATTCCAAGACTCTGTTCTCACTCAAGACCTCAAAAGTTTTTCTTACCGCACAATTACACGCTGAATGTCTTGCTACAGACTAATTTTAATGGAAAACTCAAAGAAGCACTTTCAGGACTGAAAAAAATATGTAGGATGAATGAAAATAACATATTTCCATTTATTTGGATCAATAAAAATATCTTATCATATAAACACCTTTTGTGAGTTAAGTCTGGAAAAACAGAATGTATATCTTCTTGAAAGTTTTGACCAAATATGATTGCTAATTACTTATGTTAGAATACATTATTGTTGATGAAAGGGAATTTCTTTTCCTCTGCAAATATTTTTCTTTTTGTTAGATAATTTGAATTAATTGATTGAAAAAACTAACGAAAGTGCTATATGTGTTGACAATGAATGACTAAAAAAAATTTAAAAAGTGCTAAATCAGTTTATGATGTATGATTTTTATCCAGATCACTTTCATAAACCATGGCCCAGTGGTTGAAACATGAAAATTGTTAAGACTTGTAAATATTTGACATTAAAGGAATGTACTTTGTTATTTTGAATTGGCTTCTCCAGCTTAAATTCAGATATTATACCGCTATTTGAATTAGTAAATTTTCAAAATTCAGACGAAGTAATGCAGAACTTCAACTTAAATTAGGAATTGGTAGACATTATACTTTCACGTGGGCAATAATAAATATGTCTAGCAATATTCCTGGATTTTAGACACATGATTACATAGCAGAGCAGCTACATGATACAGGTTACAAGCCCTGAAGTATAAATTATCACAGAGAGTCCATCACATTACCCCTGTGAGAGTCCAGCTGATCAAGGTGTACCAAACAAAAAACGTGGTTATTTTCCATGTAAACACATTTTGTATGAACATTTCACAGGTTTCCACCAATCAACAATAGATCTTTTTTGAGTGCAAGGGAACCAACTGTGTTTTCCTTTGAGTTGTGCTGAGCCTTTAGATGTGTCAGGGAATCTCAAACTGGTAGAGCTGGGTGTTCACTGACATTAAGATTTAGTGTGCAGTGCTGCTTTTCTTACCCCTCTCATAAACTTTGTGTTTTCTTTTTAGCATGGCTCAGTAACACAGATGAATTGAAATTACGGAGGGTCCAGTCATGCATGGCAATAAGTAACCCTTGGATGAAAAGCTTCAAAAATGCTAATATTGATTTTAAAAAATTATATATCTATAATTTCTCATTTGCCTGACTTAATTTGTTCTGTATAAATCATTTTGGAATATCAACCAAAAAAATATAGCAATATAGGCCAAATTCCTCCTAGATTTTATAATTTCAGGCAATTGATTTTGGTAAAATTAGGACAGGTAACTTACTTCATTTGTTGGTTTTATAGATAACAGCTGACAATGCACCTAAAATTGTTTTAGAAAAAATTGCTTTTTATCTGTTAACAAAAATAATTAATACAAAATAAGGGAGAAAAAAAATATTTTTTCTGTCATGTCTGCCTATAGGAAATGAAAGTCTCATAATTTTATACAATAAACATATAAAATTATATACAAATATCTATTATTTCCTCACCTCAGATATATCATTAAAATAAATAAATGACCTGCAAAATATTTACCCTCTCTGAGATATCTTCTATCTAATGTTAGCTTCAGAAATGATCTTTAAAACTTCACTTGTGTTTCTCAATTCTTGCATGCAGCCTTCACACAAATTGTTTTAGAACATTTTGAAAGTCTTGCATCTGCACCATGATTAAATATATCTTCAACTTTTCCAACAGACCTTCTATACTAAAATCTCTTTAAGAGCATATGGCAGTATCTTTTAAATCACTATTACAAATGTATTTATGTACACAATTATATTTTTAAAAAATCATTCTAAAAAAAGCTGTAGTTAAAGTTGTTGTAATTCCAGATTTTTGAGGTCCATCACTATTATCTCTTTGATACACATTCTATTTTCTTTAGGGTTTTGACCCCCATAAAGAAGACAAGTTTATAATGGTGACCTGATATTTTAATTTAATCTTTTTTTTATTGTTTTTTTGTGTGTGTTTTCACAGCTTTATGTTGATTTTCAGAATTAATAATATTTTTTAATGTGTAAAACATTTAGTTCACACAGTTTTACAATATAATTTTACTTTCAGTTATTGATCAATTTTAGCTGAATGAGGCAGTGAATGCCGTTTAAATTTTAAATATAATTTCGTTTTTTCAAATTTTTAAAAATAGTTTATTGGATGAGAAAATCAACCCTCATATGACTGTGGATGATTGCCTTTAATTATATAAAAATAAACCTTGCTCCAAACATATGAAATATTTAATGTCCACATAAATATTCATCTTGTTATTTTTTCCTAAGTTTACATTCTTTGTGATTAAGACATTATATAAAATTTTCTTAAATAAATTTTGTTTATCATCTGTTGAGTTCATTCTCACCGACTGTAGGCCTAGCAGTAGATAAAGTTTCAATGACTGTAACAATAATTTTAAATGTCCACCTCATTTATTTACAAGATTATGGAATTAAAAAAAAAATGTAACTCTCTTTTACAATAATTAAAATTAAGGGATAGAAATTAGTGCAACAGTGGAAGGAAAAAAATGTGTGTGTGGGGGGTTGTTAATGTTTGATAATTTCACCCTTATTTGATGTAGAGTGACCCAATTATAATTTGTTTATAAGTTTAGTGTTTTAGGTAGATTTAGATAATTAGAGAAAGCCAATGTTTTCATTTGGTGTGTTTAGCTAAAAATAGTATACTTAGTGATAGCGTTAGATGGATAACTGTAGCATATTATAATGGATTTTAATTAAAATTGATATACTACATTCACTTCATTATTTTAATGGCAAGTTACCTTTAATATTGCTTTTAGCTTTACCTATTCTTACAACTAAGGAAGTAGTTTATATTTTAAAACATAAAATCAGGTAAAGACTTTCAGAAAATTTCATGATTCTACATGTAAATCCAAATTTCCTATATAACATGATCACTTATTTAAAAAAAAATTAATTTAAAATTCATAATTAACTGATAACTTGATTTAGTCTTTTGCAATTATGTATGCAGCATTTGTGGTTGCCATAACTGAGGGCATCCCTGGACTTGAGCTTGTCTATCTAGGCATTATATAAATAAATATAATATTTAGCCTTGACTTCTAGCTATATTACGTCTTCTTGAAGTCATGTCAATTATTATTAAAATATAAACCAATATCATTTGAAAAAGCATCTCCCATACAGATTTGATTTTGATAAAAACGTTTATTTTCCTCTTTCTGACAGATTTGGAGATGGAAGGATTCTTAGAATGGAAATACCTGGTTCTGCACCAATTTCAAGAATTCCACGACCACTCAGTGTAGAAAGAATGCGTCTTACTCACTCAGCTCAAAGGCGCAGATTGTAGTCCATTCTCATGGATTTATTTTAATGTGAAAACAATTTATTTTGAAGATACATTTTTGAGGGATTATTTTAAGCATGCATTTTTATACATTGTTTTAAATGATATGTGCGGCAAGCAGTGAATGTATTAATCTTAATTGGCTTTGCCCTTTGCAGTATTACATCTTTATTCTATATTTGTCCTATCTTGCTTTTCAGGGTTTAGGGGGTTGATTGTGTTCAAAATGATTTATTTATATTTGCACGCCTTAAAGAATCAATACCACTGGCCCTTGCCATCTGCTTGTCATTTTTTGCCCCAGAATGACTCACATTACTATTTAACATAAAAATACCTCTTAATTATAATCACTTAGACTTTTTTGTGAATTTCTGAAGATACTTTTCTTGATCAAAAGTAAGGGAAATGCACATTTTCAGAATCTAAATTTTTATATTAAAACTTAGCTTTATTATAAAATTCTATCTTAGTATTGCTATTATAATATTTTAAGAGATTTATTAAATTAAAACCTCAATGGAATGAGTTGGTGTGGTCATTTTCATAGATAGATTTTTAAAGGTAAAAATCACATTTTTCGTAAGTATTAATGATATAAATATGTATGCATATTTACTATAAATAAGAGTACAATATTCCTACATTTAAAAAAAAAAAGCTAATATAACATTAAATCTTGATTTTTTAATTGAAAAAACCTATAATTTCTTTTTTGTTTTGAAAGTAAAATATTGTTAGCTTGTTTGATTTATCTTTAAACAATATTTGAACTTAAAACATATAATTTTAATATTTCAAAAAAAAAAAAATACAACCCAGAGATATACACACTAGTTGCAAGGTGAAGTTTCAAATTTTCTTTTACATAAACAAATAATTTTAAAATTTCTACATGCTTCTCAAACATTTTTTCCTTTACTTGGCAAAGATTTAGATCTATGGCTCCCATTTCTCTCAGCAACTCAAGTCATTTATCATTTATTTCTATTCATCTTGTCTGTGAATGTGAGCCTGAAAATACACTTATTTAAAAGTGCATTTGTGAAACAGTTGTGAAATGGTTATAGATGTACACATTTTCTGTGTGAAGTAAAGGCTTAAATAGATATATATTATGAATATTTATGTATAAATTGTTTCTTCAAGTTCATACACTCAGTATTATTTCATTGCTATTTTTCTTATGGAATTCTGCAGACATACACAGAGGAAAGGATTCAATTGTTTGGCAATCAAATACTTTTCTGTTTCAATTAATGAGATCCACTAACATTTTAACTGTTTAGACTGGAGTTTTGGATATTTCCTCTAAATTTTGTTTGAGTGTAATACTTAAGGCATGTTCTTTATCAGGGATCTCAAACTCAAATTGACAAAGAGGACAGCAGGAGGACAATTTCTGGAACAAAAACACCCACATTTGTCATTATTGAATCACTGACAGTGTTTTTTTTAAATTTGAGACAATAATTGCTTTTTTTGGGGATCCATGCTAAAACTTGGAGGGTGTCTTCTGGCTTCACAGTTAGGGACCACTTTTGTTTATTTAAGCACTTCGTTGAACATTGAAGGTTCATGCGAAAAGCTTTTACTGTAATCTTCTGCTTATCTGTAAGTGACATCTTATACATAAGTCACTTAGACTTAGAGCACTGCCATGTAATATAACAATAAAATATCACAAACTTTTGTCAAGCTTGCAAATGCTTGTGTGTGAGTGAAGACTGCAATTGTTGGCAAAAGTTACAGATTGCTTCTTAGTTTGAAATTTATGTTCACATATTTTTTTGTTATGCACGCATTCATTTAATTTGTTTAAATATTAGAATCTGCTTGGAAGTTTTGTCACCATGCCTACTCCAGTTTGCACATTTCATAAATATTTCAGTTCCTCTGTTACATATGATGCACATAGTTTATTTTTTTATCCTTTAATCTGTACTGATAGGTTAACCTAATTAAGTATTTTCCATGGACTGACTAAAAAAATGTATAGAATGTTTGGAATAAGCCAGTGATCGGCAAACTCATTAGTCAAAAGAGCCATAATCAACAGCAGGAGGATTAACATTTTTTTGAGAGCCAAATTTCTTTTCAAGAGCCTGTCAAGAACCATGTTTTTTGGAGCCAAAATCCTTTTAAATTTTTAAAAATATATTTTATATTAAAACTTTTCTTTTCTTCTAGTAACTGTGCATCTAAATGTTTTCACATGGCGGGCTTTTCAAATTTTCGTCTTTTTCTTAATTCATAAATTTGAAACATCTCTTTTATCCAATGTGTTCACAAGAATTATTAAAAGGTGATCAACTCTAGTGCACTTTCACTATATTAATGTTTGATCCTATATCATTTGGGCTTTCATTTTTTTCATCATTATAAATTATTTGGCTTGAATTTGAAGACATTAAAAAAATAGGCCTTCCTTTGAATGAAATAATTATGTTTCAGTTGAATTCAGAAATACAACACATGGCCGCCGAAAATATAATTATGGAAGAAGATTTTTATAGTCAAATTTAAAACTATTTACATTTTAATATCATAGATTTTATAGTTTTAAAATTATTTGTTTATTTGATACTAAACTAAACAAAATTAATAGGGAAAAAATAAATTCAGATCATATTTGAAAACCGCAAACGCTGAAAGTTTAATAATGTTAAAAGTGGCAGGATTCAAGATCTTATCTTAACATAGTAGAATATAGTCTACAGATTGGCATCTCATTCAAAGCTTGTTGATGGATAAACGGAAGGGAATCCTACTGACTAAATTTCTTATGTTATTACTTACTATGTCCTAACATCAATGAAAACAAATGGGCTTATGTACACTTTGTACAAATTAGTAATTTTTTTTATTTTCAAAACAAGCTTTCACTGCTTATCGCCCAGTCTTAGATCTGAGATAAGTATGATGAAAGGAAAGACCCTGTTAAGCCTTCATGTTTACTTTGAAGAGCAGAGAAGCGTAGATCTTAGATATGTTCAAGGAAATTCCTTTTCGAATTAAAAGGTGACATCTAGGCTATATCTTTGCATTATTTGTAAAATATTTACTATCTTTTTATGACTTCATAATATATGCTCTAATCTGCCTTTGAACATTCATTTAATATATATATATATAATAGGCCTATATATAATATATATATATATATATATATATATATATATATATATAATTGGTTAAATAAAATAAAATATTTACTATCTTTTTATGACTTCATAATATATGCTCTAATCTGCCTTTGAACATTCATTTAATATATATATATAATAGGCCTATATATAAAATATATATATATATATATATATATATATATATATATAATGGGTTAAATAAACGTGATCTTGTGTCGAATAAACTTCGTTTGTTTTCATTGTATTAATATGACAATTGACATAGCTACAGACTTATAACATTTTCACCTCACAGACTCCATGACCAGATCTATCGTGGTGACGCATTTCTGAGCATTGATTCAAACCAACTGAAATGTAGCCTACGCCTTGCTAGCACTATCCAAATTCTCGTAACGCGCCAACAAACACATACAGTGGTCACGCTTGACTGATAATCGCTTTAACTTTATGTTAAAAATTGAAAACATGTCAGGCGCTTCACTACCCTGACTGAATTCGAGCGCATTTTTTTTTTTTGAAAAGTCTAAGCGCTGTAGCGTCTTAACTGCACCTCCGAACTTGCTGTTTGACACCCACTCCCCATTTTTTTTTTTTGAAAAGTCTAAGCGCTGTTGCGTCTTAACTGCACCTCCGAACTTGCTGTTTGACACCCACTCCCCAATTTAATTTTTTTTTTTTTTTACTAAACCTACATTATATTACAATAACAATAGTTTTGGAAACAAGGTATTCTTGAAAATGCTCCCAGACATTTCTTTATGAAAGTGAAAGATATGTTGTGGCTATGACTATGGATACATATAAAAAAAAACACAATTCTTTCTTAAGACTTTGAGTTTAGGGATTTTTTAAAAATTTGTAAATGCCATGCTGTTGATTTAATGAAATGTATACTTAACTTGCAACCCAACACAAATATCTATTGACCCTTTCCCATGGAAGCACATCGATAGTGTAGGCCTACATAGAAGCACACTGATAGTGTACATTGAAGCACACCGTTAGTGTACATTGAAGCACACCGATAGTGTACATAGAAGCACAACGATAGTGTAGGCCTACATTGAAGCACATCGATAGTGTACATTGAAGCATATCGATAGTGTACATTGAAGCACACCGATAGTGTACATTGAAGCACATCGATAGTGTACATTGAAGCACATCGATAGAGTACATTGAAGCACATCGATAGTGTACATTGAAGCACATCGATAGTGTACATTGAAGCACATCGATAGTGTACATTGAAGCACACCGATAGTGTACATTGAAGCACATCGATAGTGTACATTGAAGCACATCGATAGAGTACATTGAAGCACATCGATAGTGTACATTGAAGCACATCGATAGTGTACATTGAAGCACATCGATAGTGTACATTGAAGCACATCGATAGTGTACATTGAAGCACATCGATAGTGTACATTGAAGCACATCGATAGTGTACATTGAAGCACATCGATAGTGTACATTGAAGCACATCGATAGTGTACATTGAAGCACATCGATAGTGTAAATGGAAGCAATATGAAATGAATAAAACAAAGTAGGGTTAAACCTGGAAAAATTGAACGCAACAAAACAACGAACGTGTCGCCAGGAAGCCTTCGTCAGCGAACAAAACAGAAAAAACAGTATAAAAATACAAAATAGCACTTAGCTTAGAAGTAGTATCCGTAGTTAGCAAATGAATTATAACAGAAAGTTAGTAAGTGAGAGATTAAATAGGGAAGAGGGAAAGAAAAGAGAAGTAAGTCCACAGCGATAGGTCGGGACGTGGAGGGGTGGAGCTAGGTTCAATCTGTGAAAAGAGACATGGCGTTCATACCATGTGGCGTCAATGTGCCATACGTCAGGATAAGCACGTGTTCCAAATGTATCCGGCTGAGTGTGTTCGTGTTAACCACGATCGCACTAATTGAAAAGTCCATCTTGCCCTGGTAGTCGCTACTATTGAAGTGTTTGGAGACGGGACACTGTTTATCTTGTGTAATGTACGGAGGAGTTCAGTACACTGTCTTGTCAGAGAGTCGGCGTCCAGTCTCCCCTATGTACGTCATCTGGCAGCGGGTGCAGAGAATGGCTACATGGAAGCACATCGATAGTTTACATGGAAGCACAACGATAGTGTACATGGAAGCACATCGGTAGTGTACATTTCAACGTACTCTGGCTAATTTTAATCGAAGTGGGTCTACTCGAACAATAATTGTGTTAAAATTTTTGGGGGTAAGGTTTGAGTATATTACGGCTTTACTTACTATCACAGTAATTTGCAAAACTTTTGTGTTCTTTGGTTTAGCTTAATATAAACATTTTTACAGCTTTCATTTTTAAGGGCGACATTTTGTGTGACATAACACCAGGTCAAGTATTCACTGTCTTCAACATGTTTTGTTGTTTTTCGTCAATGCATCGCTTCAAGAGACATACAACAGATACAAACTTAACACAAAAAAAAGATTTCGCGATTATAATGATCATAAACCCACATACGCATCACAAACATATGGATTAGATTGACTGAGTCATCATATGATTATCAGAGGCGTTGACTTAAAATTAGCCTAAAACGTGCGCAGCACTGCCAGACTTGTTATTGTTAGCTTTGCTCAACTTTAAAATAAATTAAACTTCCAAT